CGCCGCGCGCCCTGCCGAGCGGCTGGTTAAAAGCCCCGGGCGCTCGGTGGTGGCCGGTCCTGAGCCCCGGCCTCGGTTTCGGTTCTCGGGTGTTTGGGGCCTGGAGCGCCAGCCCGCGGCGGAACCTCGGCCCCAGCACTTGCAAATACCTGCGAGGCGCCGAGCCCCGTGCCTGGCCCCAGCGGTCGCTAAGTGACGGGAGGTGCTATTCTTACAACCTGGGGCAGGAGTTTTGAAGGCAACGGAGCCCGGCCGGTGTGGCTCAGTGGTGGAGCATCGACCTATGAACCAGGAGGTCACGGTTCCATTCCCGGTCCGGGCACAGGCCCGGGTTGCGGGCTCGAACCCGGTAGGGGGTGTGCAGGAGGCAGTGGATCCGTGATTTTCTCATTGTTGATGTTTCTCTCTCTCTCCCTCTCCCTTCCTCTCGGAAATAAAAATATATATATTTTTTTAAATGAAGGCAACAGAAACTTGGAACACTTAAGAAGGAACCAGAGGAGGAAGAGCATTCCCCTTACCTGTCATCTCTTCTGAAAAGGAGTGGAAGCCCCAAAAATAGATACAATCAACCATTGAAACAGAAGGAAAAAAGAAACCAAGATCCGGTGAACGAACAGCCAGGCAGGGGTCCACAGGATTCCAGAGCCCAAAAGAGGGTCCAGGTGGGAGGGCGTCTGACCAGGTCTCGGGCTGAGAGAGGGTCCTCTCTGGGGAGCTGAGTGTCTGGGGGGGAGGGCTTCACACTGGGGAAATGCACAGCTCCTGAGTCCAGCAAGAATTACTTACATAGGAGTGAACGTTAGGCTTTCTCTTTGACACCCAAAGACAGTCAAATCATGAAGAATTCAGAGTCACTTCAGCACAATAAAGTGTTACTGATATCCAGGATTTACAAAAATAATTCACCAACCTTTTATAAATTTTCTTTATTGATTGATTTTAGAGAGAAAAGGCAGAGAGAAACATCCCTTTGTTGTTCCACTTACTTATGCATTCTGTTTTTTAAATTTTTTTATTTTTATTAATTTAAGAGAGGAAGGAAGAGGGAGGGAGAAACAATGATGAGAGAGAATTCACGGATTGACTGCCTCCTGCACACCCCCCACGGGAGATCGAGCCAGCAACCCGGTCATCTGCCCTTGAACGGAATCAAACCTGGGACCCTTTAGTCTGCAGGTCAATGCTCTATCCACTGAGCCAAACCAGATAGGGCTAAGCATTCTTGCTGGAGAAGGGGGGAGGAGCCAGTCCCACCCTCCCACACCCCCCTGCAGAAAACAGGTGACATCACTCTCACCAGAGTGGTGCTAAGAGATTTAAGGTGGAGAGGCCAGATAGGAGGCTGCTGTTACAGCCTTAGGTCCTGACAAGGGTTAGGCCTGAATCCCTCCTTGGGCACTTCCCTCATTCATTCACACTCAACCTGTGTTCCCTGAACCCATCTGGGAAGCAAGACACCTGTGTAGGAAGAAGGAATGAGTACAGAAACGGGCAGGTTGCCAAGGGAAGGAACTCCAAGCTCTAGCTTTTATACATATATATGTATTTTTTTAAAATTGATTTCAGATAGGAAGGGAGAGAGAGAAACATCAATGATGAGAATCATTGATCGGCTGCCTCCTGCACGCCCCCTACTGGGGATGGAGCCAGCAACCTGGCATGTGCCCTTCACCAGAATCGAACCTGGGACCCTTCAGTCCGCAGGCCGACGCTCTATCCACTGAGCCAAACGGCTAGGGCCCATCTTCCAATTTGAGCAGCCTAAGTACAACCCTGAAGGTAGGAGCCACCCCACCTCATAAGCCAACCCCACTGCCCGGGATGAACAGGATGCCTTGGTCAGGAAAGGAAGCCATGTTTGAAAGACGAAGCTCTCTTCATTTATTTGGCATGAGGATGGGGGAGAAGAGGATTGTGAGGTCACAGGCATATCTGCAGGTGGGGGTGCGGGAAGCCGGTATCCACCAGGCCCTCCCTCTGCCAGGAGACCTCTCCGGAAGAGGCGGCTGCTCACAGATGCCCTGGATGTACTCTGTGCCGCTCACAAAAAGGTCATAACCGTCCCTTTCTTGCCAATCTGCCAGGGCTCCAGGGGGAAAAAGCGGATAAGTATCCTTCAGGGAACAGAGAAAAAAAGATGTCATCAGCTCCCTGGCCAAGGCCTCATATTCTAAGACCCCCCTCGCCAGGCATACCCACCACGGGGTCCCCGGCCAGGCTGCCCTGGCCCACCAGGTAGATGCTGCAAGCTGGCTCGCCCCCTTATGTTCTCCCTCCAACAGGGTGGCGGGCATGTCAGGGGCGGCATGGCTCACCCAGAACTACACTCACAGCCAGAACTTCCTTCAGTTCCCCTAACACCCAAAGGCGGCCCCCC